CCACTGCTCTCATTCAATGCTGCCAATTGGTTTGATACAACACTTCACTTATTTTCAGAAACTGAATTTCCTAGGAAGAAATTACCCATTGAATAGAGAGAAAAGTTGATGTTCCCTTCAATACCTTCTGGAATGTGGAGAACACTTTTTTACTTCCCTTTTTTAATTACTCTGTCATTGTTGCTCCTTGAAGACTTATTGCTAGATGTTCAAAAATCAAGAGTTGATCCTTAGATCAGACTCAAATATCTTGTTTGTGCAAGACTGTGAATTACACTGCCCAAATTCCCTCCTTCTGATATAATTCAGCTGGCCTAGAGAGAGTTACTCACACTTTATGGCAACGTGAATGAGGAGATTCAGGTTAAATGCTTCATATTCCATCTCCATCAGAAGTTAACTACCAGCCTTTTTCCCTGATCCTGCTGCAAGAGCTGATGATGGTGGGACACAAAAAAGGCACCTGGACATGCAAAGAGTTGGGTATGTTGTTCTAAACAAACTTGCCCATGTTAATTTCAGCCTCATAAAAAATATAAGACAAACATTCATCCTGGGAACCCAAACAGGAAATTGGCAATAAAGGATGTGTTCTAAGCATCAAAAAACACACAAAACATTCCAAAACAAACAGGAAAATAACCCACTGTAAATCCGTGGTAGGTAAACACTCAAAATTATAAACCCGAACAAAGAAAACATCTTTTTAATGTCCTGTCTAGCATGTCTTGAACCTTGGATAAAAATATTTAACGTTCTTTTCACTCTATCCACTTTTAATAGGAAAACCCACGTGCAGATGTGGGCTTGATTCCAGTGCCAAGCAAAGAGCCCCAAGATACCACCAGTAGAGATTCAGAATCCTAATTAATTTTCTGTTGGTCAGTTGTCACAGTGATTCCCTCAATTTAAAAATATTAAATCTAATAAACTGTGGATAAATCACTTACAATTCTTGGTGAAATAATTAATATTTATACAAAAAAATAGAATATAAACAACCAAAATTATGCTGTTAACTCATCCCTCCCCTCACTTCATCCCCGGCCATGAGATTTTTCTATCATTAATAAAGGGATAACCATAAACATATGGAAACACCACTGGCTGAGTCTGTCTCATCATACACTGGTGTTTAGGAACAGAGAGCAGAAGCAGATGTTCTCACCCTGCCAGCAAATCCACAGGGAGACATGACACAGGGACGTTTCCACCACAGGAGGAGAAACAATTTTGGGTGGCTTAGGAAGATGAGAGTTAACCTGAATTTCATAGTATCACAGAATGGACTGGGTTGGAAGAGGCCTTAAAGGTCATCCAGTTTCAACCCCCCTGCCATGGGCAGGGACACCTTCCACTAGACCAGGTTGCTCAGAGCCCCATCGAGCCTGGCTTTGAAAACTTTCTGGGGTGAGCTAGTGACATTATTTTACAGGAAGCAAGTGCAAGCCATGCTCCCCTTGGCCTGGAAGGAGTAATTGGCAGAGAAACCATTGATTATTGCACATGCAGCTACCCAAGGTCTAAGGTAAGCAGCAGCAAAATGGCCTCAGTGGGACATGCAGTGAAGGCAACAAGAAATTCAGCAGCCCAAGATGAGGAAAGGTTAACTGGCACATTAACCATTGTAGCTGGCAGGAGGTCTGGGGATTTTATAGCCAAATTCTAAGCATAAGGAGAAACAGCTTTTTGTGGGTGGCTGTGCAAGAGGCCATCTTGTCACAGCATAAACCACAGCTGAGACAGCCACAATACACAGAGTGTCACCATATAATTTCAGAAAGCTTCACCCCACACAGAGTATCACCTTACCACTTCAGAAGGCATCAGGCATCTGCCCATGCAGAGTAACATCAGATCACCTCAGAAGGCTGCAATGCAGGCATCTGCCCTTCTTCCTTAGCCCAACCTTTTATCCCCTCACGTTGATGCACGGCACCTGTGTGCCCTCTGCTCCCTTTGGTGGTTGCTCAGTGCCCCTGGGCACTCCATGGCTCATTGTGTCAGTGCTGCTCACCTGCTGCTCACAGCTGTGCCCATGGGGATGAGGCTCCCACAGCCCCATCCCAATCACCACAAACTCTGTGCCTACATTGTCCCAAAGTGATGAATAGGTCTGTAGTCCCTACTGCTCGTGTCTCTCACCCGTTTGGGGCCAGCAGCAGCTGCCTGCCTTGATGAGAGGTCCCAGGGCAGGCAGGGGCTGGCCACGTGTTCAGCACACCCGGAGCAGCTTGAGTGTTCTGGACCTACCCACAGTGATGTCAACATTTTCAGAAGCCCTTTGTTTGTAGGAGCACAGGCCACACATTGATTGCATTTCCTCCTGAACTAGGGTGAAATTCTGATTGAGAAAAGCACTGACAGGAATTCAGAAAATGCATCACAAATTCAATATATTCAATACAAATGAACAAACCACCAGGATTTCTGACCTCTAGCCACCATATCACTGTTGTAATATGATGACACCATACCAAGCTATTTCCTCCTGGTTCAAGAGCCAAATGCTATTTGCTGAAGGCCAGTTCAGTTTGTCTGAGCTTAATAAAATATCCTTCTGCAACAAAGCATAAGGACTTTCTTCTGAAAGAAATTAATAAACATTTGACAGCTTGAACAAACTGAACCCTGCTGAAACCCTTTGAGGCTCAAACATATTGCTTTGTTTTCTTCCCCCCAAATCACAGATTTTAATAAATGGCTGTAGTAGACCATGTTATACAAGGGATTGTTATTAAGTAGATTTGAGAAAATAATAATGTCCAGTGTCTACCTGCTCACTAAAACTTCCATTGAACCATTGATGGGTTCCACCAATATAATTTTCGTTCATATTTAAAGATACCTGAGACAAAAGGTGTTCCAATGAAGGCACAAGCACTGATAGTGATTATATGGTATTCCAAGCCATGAGCAAAGCAAGAGGAAGAGCATTTATGCACAGGATGCCTCCAGAGCTGGAGAAAACAGCTGAGACAGTGGTGGTCCCATGGTTCATAGCTGCAGCCATTGTCTGCCATGGGGGTTTGGCTCTTCAGATGATCTTTATTTGAATATGTTCAGCTCTTGAATTTGCTCCATCCTCTGCTCTCTACCCTCCTCAGAAGGCTGAAGAGAAAGTTTTTGCAAAGATCAAGAGACTACCAATAGTATCATAATTAATTTGGCAATTGTGTTAAAACATTGCTATGTGGTTTTAAAAGAAGTTTTTTATAACAATTTTCTATGTGCAAACAGAGCAAGTAGCCAAATAAAAGGCAAGTATTATACAATCTGATTTCCACTACTGCAGTAAAAAACTTAGCAAAAGAGATCATCTTCTCCTTATTTATATACAGTAAATGACACAGTCAATAATAATAATAATAATTAAAAATCAAAAAGCCCATTAGGTAACTGATTTCAAGAATGATGCTGGGCTCTGAGGGTTTTTTAAATAATGCAGTCTTTCACAAAGATGAATTTTAACCCAGCCTCATGTAAATGTTGAGCTGTGTTTTAATGACCACCGCAGTGGGACAGCCCCCGAGTGAGGTAACACCTGAGTGCAGTTGGGCTACCCAGGAGTTACTGTAATCACATAGAAAAGTGCCTTTGAGACCTCCTTTTCCCAAAAAGAATGGTACCTCTACAGACCGTGAGCTTCACTTCTCTGTCAAAGGGAAGAATTATTCTGTTGGTGACAGAAATAAATATTTTCAGATTACTGAAATGATTATACACAAGGAGAAAATAATTCATTTTGAGGTTTTACTTAAGAGACAAAACCATTAAAATTCGGTCTTTTCCGCACTGATGTCTGCAGCCCTCTGCCAGAGCATTAAATGTCAGCAGGACTGTGCCTCTCCTTCTTGTAAGGAAAGACTCACTCTGTGATGATTACAAATGGAGAGACTGAGTAATACAGGCTGCTGAGAAAGTCCTGTGTCTAGGAAGAATTCCTCCCATCTCCTGCTGCTGCTTTCCCCATCATCATCGGGGCTCTCTGATGCCGCCGCGGCGCTCGCGGGGCAGCCAGAGCCAGGGCCAGCACTGTAAGGAGGTTAACACAGACACATCAGAATGGAGGGCTAAAGGCAGCAAGAGACAAACCCTTGTGGTGATGGAATTATCACAGCTTGGCTCTTTCCTGGTTGTAATTTCCTGCAGACATACAGGGACAGTGGGAAAAATCAACTTGTACGTGTTCCAGTTAAAACCACTGGAATGATCTTTACGCCTTTCAAGATGAAAAAGTAAACCTCAGAGTATCAGTATCTGAATCCAGGAATGCATTTTCCTCCTAATTGCACAAGATCTCCAGAGCTGCAATTACCCCAGAGTGTATCTGTGTTTTCTTGGTCCCACCTAAGGGTTCAGCAGCATTCACAGCACATTGAGCACCTCACCATGTTCTGTCTGGGCTTGGTGACAGCAGCCCCCAGATGCTGGGGGGAGCTGGGATAGGCTCTCAAAGGAGTTGTGAATCTCTGTTAAGCTAACTTCCTTCTCTACAGAGTTTTCAAATAATCACTGTTTTAAACGTGATATTTCACCAAGAGCAATCTAGTGCTCTAAGACATATCACCAGGTGGGAATTATCAGCAAAATGCACTAAAGTGCAAGAGCAAGCCCACTAAGTTGCTTTGGGAAGTGACAGGGAAGGAAAGTGAAGATGCAGATAAGTGAGCTACTTGCCTGGCTCTCAGGGCCCAGAGGTTAAACCACAAGAAATCAGGTGCTAGGGGAATAAAAGAATGCACTGAAAATTCCACTGCTTTGATACCTGGGTGAGGATGAGTGAAGTGTCTCCTTTCATTTTGATGTCACTTTTCTGGGCAACTGATGTTTATATGTTTAGGAAGAGAAGAGTCACAAGAGATAAGATACTGATTTTTTGCCGGAGGAAACAAGTCTAACCCACAACAGAAATCTTTCTCTGTGTTTTCACCATAGTGACAAAGTGAGTCCTCTCTTTTCATTAACAATATTGTACCTGTCAAGCAAAAGTCAAGTCAACAACTAAGAGCTTCTTGAAACATAAGATCTTGACATGTGAGGTCTTTGCTTTCAGTTAATGGAAACAGGCCACTATGAAAAAACTTGACTGTATCCTCCTGGTGTCCCTCACCTCAGAAACTGCTGTAAGACACCAATCTGTGAGTGGGAATTCTGTATGGCAGGCTGGAGCAGGCTTGGTCCCTGTGGTCTTGCAGGATAGAACACAGTGCATTCTTGCAAATTTATTTGCAACATTTTGCCTGCCTCCTATAAATTTACTTTTGTTCATACATGCTTACCCACTAGCAGCTAAAATTTATCACCAAGGTTTATGTAAAGGTTTGATGTAAGAAGCTAAAGGTAAGCATGAAAAAGGGGTAAAAAGATATTTTCCCATTGCTACAGATATTCCATTCCAGCGCTTCCCAACAAGAGGCATTTTCAGGCTTATCAAAATGGGATAGAAATGGTTTCATCAGTGTGCTAGTGCTCCCTCAGTCACACTCTGACCTTGGGCAGGTAATTTATCTGCTCTGTGCATCAGTTTTTCCTTCTACAGAAAGGAGGAATTGAATTTCACCTTATAGGGACATGCTGTGAAGCTTGAGAGTTTTAAGGGTGACAGAAGCAGACCAAATAAAGGGAGAAGATACAAGACCTGAGACAGATCCAGCTCTTGGGTTAATTTCCCAGGACTTTGGCCTTACAGTGCAAGGCCAAAAGAATTAAAAAAATTAACAATAGATAAGTCTTCATAAAATTTAAACATGATATTAGCTGCCTCTCAAAGTCATAACATTAAATTTAAAACTTCTAAATTACGAGAGCTTTCAGAGCAAAGTGCTACACAGTAGCTCAAATGGAACAGAAATAAAAAGGCATTTATATCCAACTGCCCTCCAGCCAGCCACTCCTGTGCAGGCTGGGCTCAACTTCCAGTCAGCAGCTGCAGTGAACACAATGATTTTCTAAGCTGCACCAAACTCTGCTCAGGAACGTCCCAGCAGCTGAGGAGGTCCCTGTGCTATCACCCCCATGCTGCCATGGCCATCCCAGCAGAGCCGCAGTCCCTGTGGACATCCAGAGCAGCCCCAGCCAGCAGGGAGAACAGCACCCAAAAACCCAGGTGCACTGCCCTGGCCAGCCTGGTCTGGCTGCTCACTGATGGACCAGGGCAGACCAATGCACTCCCCACAGGAAAGCAGAGAGGCAAGAAACATGAACTGGGTTCAGTCTGGGGAGACCCTGCTTGTGGCAGCTGCTGATTCGGGTCCATACCTCCACCAGGAGCACGTTCATGTGTCCATCCACTCTCCCACTCTGCAGCAGGGGACCAAAATGATTCTGGGACATCTGTCAAATCTCTGCCCTCTCACTGGTTTTATGGAGGATTTTTATTTCTAGATTTTATTTTTTGTTTGTTTGGGTTTTTTTTGTGGTTTTTTATTTCATTGGTTAAAGTCTAAAAAATTAAATGACTTCTTTACTTTTCTCTAAACACCAGGTGTCTATTTCTCAAAACTGCATTTTAGAAGGCAAGAGGCCCTCAAGATGGGTGCTGCAGGAGTGGGACACGCTGTCTGGCAAAGGCAAAGGGCAGCCAAGGGGGCTGTGGCTGTGGCCCAGAGCTGCCAGTGGCACTGCACAGTTTCCTGCTGCCCTTCCTGCAGGGAAGGCTCCTGCAGGACCCTCCAGCAGCAGCTGCTGGGATGTGCAGAGCCACAGACCTGAGCTCTTTGCTGCTCCTCTTGCCATCCCTCTCCCCTCAGTTCTCCAAGGTGACCAAGTGGACCCTCTGAAACACCTTCTCCCAAAAGATTCATTTATGGCAGTTCCTCAAGCAGCATTGCTTTTGAGGTATTTCTGTTAATTAGACCTTTTGGCTGCTTCATATGCCAGAAAGTTCATATTTTTCTACTCTTTCTCTCCCGCTTTTGAGTTGTTGTATTTATTCAAGATGAAAGCCAGATGTTATATTAGTAAGAGAACTGCCTTTCCTAAAGGGAAACATTCATCAGGGCAGAAGCAGACATTGTAGCTTTGCTGTGAATTATTTAAATTCCTCCTCTTTTTTTTTTTTCTTTTGAACAGGAAATCCAAGAAGATGTATTTGAAAGCAATAGTATTGTGACTGCACAATAAAAGCCATTTACCCTAATCCCTTTAAAAACTGGTAATAGGGATTTAAAAGTACTGAAGCTTAAAAATGTTGAAATTTGAAGGAAAGACAAATATAAACCAAAAATATTGGGGAAGGAAAAAAGAATGTTCGGATAATTTATACAGCAAATTCTTTACAAATCCAACAACAGATAATTACTATCAAACCAGCTGGATTTTTTTATACCCAGCAGCAATTGTTTTTCCTACAGAGGCTCTTCTCCCAAAGCCAGGGTTTTAGCAGAAATGGACCTAAATGACATTTTGCTTTATGCTGAAAAAAAGACACATTCTACAGAACATCTCCTCTGATATTGTGCTCGATGGGTACACTGTGATTATTTTCATAGGGAGGGTGGGATGGGAGGACTGGGGAACAAATCATTTGTGCAAAGATAATCTTCCCCATGGTACAGCCCAGGTGGTTCTTGGGCTGTTTCTGACTCCTGGGTTTGGCACTTGTGGAGTGCTGGCTGTGACTCCTGGTCCACTGCCAGAGGTGGGAAATGCTCAGTCAGTGCCTATTTTTCCCTCGCCTCCTCGAATTTCTTTTCACAGTGGCTGGAATGACACTCATAGGAAGAACAGTAGAGAAGGAAAATGCAGTGTTTTCTCCCTATTTAAAATTCAACAGCAAGAAAATAATACTTCTCATGGAAAAAACCCCAGATTTTACAACTGACTGGTGGCCACAGTATTTCCCTGGGACAAGAGCAGCTTAGAGCAGCTTCAGGTACTGCCCCACCCCCTGATCCTGCTATTGTGGGTATGTTGCTCACACTTGTGATCTGAGTCCTTTCTAGTGCCAAACATAGCTTAGAAATCTAACTTGAGCAGCATAACTTTTTAAACAATGATCCAAGCTTCTCACACATCCAAATGAACACTTTGAAAGTATCCCTCGCATGTATAAACTATAATCTTTACTATTTAAATAAATGATATATATATCAGAGATTTCTAATACCATATATTCATAAAAATAATCATAATCCTAAAACCTCATTTAACAAGTCTTGGAAAACTTTTTGAAGTTGTACTGAAATTATGTACTCTTATAGAATGTTGTATCTTTATTATTAAATATTTCCATTATGCCATTTCTGGAATATTTTTAGAATTAATATAATCTGTTGTAATAAAAAGAAGAGTACTGTCATAGCTATTTGACAGAATGTGTTCCAGTTAAATGAGCTAATTAGCTTTTAATAATGAGATCCAGCCCATGGACTTACCAAGCAAGCTACTGGAGCCTAATGATTTCAAAAGCTATCACATTTACAAGTTAATGTAGCATAAATTATTCATGAGCATCTTATAAATAAGTGTAATAAGCTATTTGCAAGGCCAGTGTTGCCTTAAAATAAGGTTCTTCTGAAAAGTTCCTTTAGAAACAGAGCTTTTTTGTGACCCTATATCCACCCTGGGTTTTGGTACTTTCACATGAAGTTGCAGAAGTTTGGATGTTGATGGTCATTCACCAGCTCAGATTTCCTTCAGCCCATGTCTCTGCTAAGCCCTGACAGTCCCCATGGTTTGGGAGTGAGCAGAGGCATCAGAGGCACTGGGGCAGTATCCAAATTTCTGATTCCCTCTCTTAATGGCAGACAGTTCCTGCCCATGGCTCCCTCCATACAGAAACCGAGTCTGGGGGAACTTCCCAGTGCTGAAGCCAGGAGGGCTGCACAGAGGTATCAGCAACACTCTTCTTTGTCACCCAGCCCTTTCTTTCAGGACAGGTTCTGACTCATCCAGCAGATCGAGATACCCTCCCCTGAGTGCCAAGCACCTGTGAAAAGTCAGTAAATTTTACAAATTGAAGAAATTCTTTCCAAACCAGGCTTTGTCATTCTCACCCTGAAAAAGGCAGAGTTTCAGTAGCAAAAGGTGACTCAAGCTTACAAACATTTTAAAACATAAGTCTGGAGGTGGTTCAGGGTATATTCTACAGGTATTTAAGAGTTTTGAGCCTAAAGAAGGAACATTGATTTAGAGGGAAGTATTTCTAGGGGACTGGGGACTAAGGGCAAGAGGAGGGAAGGGTTGTTTAGGTTTTAAGGTATTTAGGTATTTACTCTTTTGCCATGCTCCTATTGCCTATCTTGGCCTGGCTTAATGAATTCCAATTATCAACTGAAACAGGGCTTCAGCTGCAACTGTTCAGGTCAGGGCTTCAGTTTGTATCACCTGGGGACGCTTTTCTTTGGGGTTCAGAATAGTAAAACTGGCTCATCGAGAAATTGCTTTGATTTGTGAGAATATTTGAAAGTCAAATCTTCTAGTACACAGTCATCTCTGCCAAACATCCCTTTTAATGCAAAAAGAATCCCTTTTCTAGGAGGGATTTTTATTTATTTTATATACAGGTCATAAATCTACAAGTTCTAATCCTAGTTTAAGACCAACAAACACACAGTAAGATTAAGGCAGGAATGCTCTCCCTGTTTAATTGCTTGAGTTATATCTTGCCAAAGTTCTAAATTATTTGTTTGTTTTCTAATGGATGGTACTCTAGGCATTTTCTCTATTTTGCTTACCACTGGGGGATCTTGGATGACTCAGAAACATCAATTCCTACAGAACTTCAGACTTTCAGACCAATCTCTGCCATTCCATTCAGGTGTCATCATTTGGGATTGTTTTGGGTTTGATTTTACTGAGTTTTTGAACCACAACACAATCTCTTCAGGCCTCAGAAGGAACTATGTGTTCCTCCTCATATTTCTTATTCGATTCACTAAAACTGGTATTTTTAAAGAACAGAGGAAAGAGTTTATTTCACAATTGCTCATTGAAAGCCAGAGGATGGTATTTCTCTCAAAAAGGTTACTTGGCAATGTTTATGTATCTTATCAGGAAATAGGATGAGGGAAGATACTTGAACTATGTTCCTCTTACTCACTGGTTACACAGAGAAGATGTTCAGTACAAGTTTGAAGAAGCAGAGGTTCATTAGATGGGTCAAACATGAAAACCACAACTGCAGCATTGTCAAAGTTCTTTTGCACAACCAGAGGACAGAAGCTCCTCTGAAGAAGAAGACTCCAAGGATTTCTAGCAAAGTGTTCTATTTACCTTGGGGGTCAGCTCAGGAACATGGAGTCACTCCTCAAGAGATGCTAATTATTACCACCATGCTCTCCAGCTTCCTGTATCCCTTCAAGCTGCATTTCAGCCCTGCTTTCTCCATCAGGAGTATGTAGCAACCATAGCAAACTGTGACAGAAAGGCAGATATGTAGGCACAAATATCCACATGTGCTTGACTTGTCTCCCCAATACACAAAATGTTATAGGAGTCCAAAATGTCTGCTTATAGGGAAAGGAAATAAGAGCAAATATCAGCCCACTTTTATTTAAGAAAATTATACCATTTTTAAAAGGGAACAAAACAGCACGTGAATCTGTGAGTTGATGTCTTCCACTTGGGTATCCTCCCTCAGCCCACCTCCAAGTTCATTCATGAAGTTCAGTCCCAGTTTTTCAGCAATAGCAAACAAAGCTGTGAGTCAAATGGTCTGCAGGAGGCTAAGAGAGATGACAGCAGTTAAAATGCTTCTCTATATTTGTGTAAGAGGTATGAAAATATATTCACAGCACACTCCTCAAAAGAACCATTATGGATATTCAGTACTTCATGAGCACAGTATCTGCTGTTAGCTGGGCTTTTAGAGGACACCCCCATGAAGCTCTGGTTCAAAAAGCAGGTTGGCGTGATTCACTTGCAGGTTAGAGGAATCCTACCTGCATAAGCTATAACAAGGTCCTTGAGGAAGATACAAGGAGAATTGTCAGTATTCAGGCATACCTATCAAAATAGTTTCCATAAACATCCCACGCTGGAAAAAAAATAAAAAAGAAAAGGAAACAGTTTTCATAAATCAATTTAAATTACTTAATTTACAAAATGTTAAAAAAAAAGTGCACACGTTTGCAGACATTTATGAACTGAGTTTTTTCTCCTCCTTTAATTAGTAATTAATTAAACCTTTTAAAACTATCAGGGTTTGCCAAGCAGTTCCATCAAGCTGCCTCCTTCAATGAGTCCATGAGTCTTCAGTCAGTGAAGAGCAAATGAGCAGTGTCAACAAGACCTTCAGCTAACAGGAACCAGGTGGGGTTTGACACAGCATTTTCAAGTTGTGCATCATTGTGTTGCATTCTTGAGCCTGGTGTGACTTCCTGGGAGCAGTGCCAAGGTCAGGCAAATCATTACTTACAAATAATGACATCTTGAATATCACATACACTTAAATTTGTCTTGTCCTTGTTTCTTTTGAACTGCCTCTGTCTTCTTTTGATTCTGACTGCAAACTCTTTGGAATAAGGATTTCCAACAATTTGCAGTGTTGGGAAAAGGCCGGAGTCTCCAGAGGCCAGGCACCAAAGTTGCACTCACCAGGAGACCAGTGCTGCCTTCACAGACACATGGAACAGCGATTTCCTCTCCCCAGGGAGGGCTTTGCTGTCCTGAGCTGTCACTGTCATAAGGTCACAGAGTGAACGAGGGATTCCTCACCCTGCAGCTCCACTGTGAGGGATTCATTCCTAGAGCACAGCTCAGCTCCCTCCTGCCTTTCTGCTGCTCCCGAGCTGTTGTTTCTGCCCACATTCAGCCACTCGGGCAGTTCCTGGTGCCTTCTCCTTGCTACAGACAAAGTCCTGCCATGCAGAGCCTAAAGCCTCCTTCCAGCCCCTTTCCAAACCTCCCTTAGCTGCTTTAGTCTCCAACCAGCATGGTCCCCTCAGGCAGACAGAGCCAGGACCTGAGCACAGTCTCCATCTCCCTTCTCCAGGGTCAGGACATGGCTGCATTTTGCAGGTTCCACATGCATGATACCTGTAAGATGCAATTTTCTTATATATTGAGCCATTACAAAAATTTCACCTGCACCACATCTCCCATCTGATACAATCTTACCTCAAAAACTCAACCTTCTAGCTCATCCCCTTTCAGAGACCTTCAGCGGATCTCTGCATGACATGTGCCTGACACCAGCAAACCCAAACTCACTGCCTCATCACTCACTGATTCCCAGCTCCAGGCAGACATTTTGCAGCTTCACAGGCAGAAACTTCTGTAGTTTTTCCCCTTGACCTCCTTCATTGATTTAACATCTCATAACAGATC